CTTCATAACTACGCCAAGTGTTATGAGCAAAGCCAATCTCGCCATTATCCATAAGACGGATCATGGCAGTGCAACTACCATGGCTCAGAGTACCAGGACCAGCCTCGAAATCAGCATCGGCGTCGGGAGCTGTGGCGAGGTCCTCAGCGGGTTGCTTAGCAGCAGCACGGAAGCCTTCCTGTACATCACCAAGATCACCCCATGACTGGAGGATGTACATATCGAGAGGATCGATCTCTTTACCTTCAGAGTGGAACTTCTGATAACCATCAATATACCCTTCAGTTTGGGCCTCGATCAGAGCCATGTTTTGCCAGAAAGTGTCGTTACTGGTCTGAGTCATAATCTTCACAAATTCCCACTGGTCTTTGAACCACTGCTTCACACCAGCTGGGCTGCCCTCGAGATCATTATGGTTGAAGTTCTGCCAGAAATCGTAGATACGGTCGTGGGTGAAATAAGACTCCAACATACCCATGGCGTACATCCTATCCTTCTCGCAATAGTAATCAGAACCAGCGTCCAATTGGAGCTGATCCCAACCGAGCTCATAGAGAGTGTCCGTATAGAGACCGGAGGCAACAGCGAATGGAGTGTCACGAGGCATCTCCTTCACATCGAATACACCGTCCTCGAGAGTAACAACAGCTTCCTGTACGGATTTGTCGCGGTTGAGACTTCCGAAGCCGCCACCAGTGGAGATGACTTCATTCATGTTCACACTTGCGAGGGAACCAATGACGGTGCTTGCCAACAATGACAGTGCCAGACCGGTCATTACTACGGAATTTGAAAAAAATATTGAAGCTGAAAAAGGAAGAACTACTCATATCACGTGAAAAACCTACTCGGAAAGTGATCAATCTAAACTAATTTGAATGATGATAGACAACCCTTACACTACTTGCTGTTTGTATGGGTATGAGAGACTACAGCTAACGTCAATCCGTAGGCTGCACTACGGCTGCGAACCGTAGCTACACGCAACCGCTATGGCCAAGCTAGAATCTAGCTGCTAAACAACCAAGCTTACTGTTCATAGCCTATGAATCATAGGGAATTAGTTGCCCAATGAATGGCATCAAATTTAACAAACATATCTCAACGGATCGCTCAAGAGTCTCTCGTGAATGTTGGTGGAGGTTTTCCAGATAGTTGCCGAAATGAAAATCCGCAAGAACGAAGCCTCACAGTGTATCTAAGGATAAGTTTGTTGGAAAACGGGAACACCAAGTGTTATCATAGTTAAAGGTTGCTCTACTTATGAGCTGTTCACAGTCTACCGATGCAAGTCACAGCCTCAATTTTAGTATCTGGAGCTTGTTGCAGCGCACTGATGGCGTCGGTCAATCAGCTGGACTGATAAAGATCCAAAATGGAATGGTCGCAATCGATTGCATCAAATGACTGGTCTTCGATGAGAGTTAGCGAGTAACTGGATTTTTTCGGGTATCAACGTGAAGGGCGCCAACACAAATGCTTATGAAATTCAAACCACATCTTTGCTAGCCGCCTTGCCCAAGAGCATTGAAGAGTGCGAAGTTCACCTCACTTGAATGTGATCAAGTATCTCCACATCTATGTATACTCGTGTTCGCTGAGTATGCTATGAAGTGCAAGGAAAGTAGTCGTCATATGAGTCCGGATCCTCCTCACTAAATGTAACGCAAGTCGATTCTGTTCAGTCAACGAACTACAAAGTTAAAAGCCCAACAAAAGGAGCACTCAACAGAGTTAAAGACAGACTGGATGCGTCGTATACGACACAACTAGTTCGTGACAGAACAGAAGCTCAATAGAGCTAAGCACTATATGATGATAGAGTAACCAGTTAGTTACCACCACGAAGAGTGCTGGTTGGAGTAGCTGTTGTTGTAGTAGTTGTAGCTGGAGGGTTCATACGAATATGATCGGGATGGTCACAAGCAGCATCGTCGAGGGCCTCTAGAGACCAACTCTCACCATTGAACCTCACCCAAGGGAAGTCATAACTATCAGGCATACCAACATGCTCGATCATATCATCAACAGGAGAAGTCGACCACTGGAAAATTGGGATGCCATTCTCAGGATCGCTGGTAGGACCAGACACAGCATGAACGGTCGTGAGATCGTTAGAAGCGACAACCTTAGCATCGATAGCACCGAAAGCCTGGGGACCAGCACCGGCACCACACTTCGCCTGGGTGCTCAGATCATAACGAGAGGCGATTGAGAGACGAGCGCATCCCTCAGAAATAGGATCAGTAAGGTACTCGTTATACCTCGAGAAGTACATAACATCTCCCAAGTTAGCCAGATGAGGAGCATCACGATCACTGATCTCACTACGAGCGCACTGATGATAACTGCTCTGCTTATCAGAATCGTTATATGCCATCTGCTCATATACATCGGGGAAATAAGGGATATTGTACGACTTCCAGTAACCCCTATCGAGA